ACAAATTGGAAATACTCTGGATAAAAATAAAATTTTGCCATCTTGTAGGAAACTATCAACCAGCAATGAAACTTTCTTAAATAAATCTGGCTTCTATTTATTTATTTATTTTGCAAAGTCTCACAAATAAAAACATGACATGAAGCTGAAACAATGGTTTTATCTACCACCAGTGTTTGGACATTTAGAATCTTCATAAGTTGTTTGTAATTTTAGTTAATAAATACTCAGTGTTGGTGGTATATAGCTGCTCTTCTCTTTTCTTTTCTTTTTTGAGCTTTCACAGCATCAAAAAGCCTTGGAGGAAAATGACTAACCCATCCTGACAGTGTGATCGTGTGGACACAGGTACTAAAGCAGAGTGGACCATGAGACCTAGGAAGCTCTAGGAAGGGCCACATGCTAACAGTCCTATAGTGGGGCATCTCATCTTAATATGTTGTAGAGGAAAGAGAGGGGTTCTGACATCAATTTTGCCTTTCACTGTGTTTGGTCTAGGTCACCTGTCCTCTCTAAGGCTCATTTTCCTCCTCTGTAGAATGAATCAGAGAATCCCAAATACACTCTCAATCTCATATTTAAGAATATCTCTAACACCTCATCTAGACAAAATACTATCTTCCTATGAAAATGCAGAAAAATAAATTAGAAAGTAAATTTGTTTCTAGAAACACTATCCTAATAATTTCCAGATAATATTCATTTTTCACAGAAATCCCAAATTGCACCTCAGATGTGAAAGAGAGAACAAATATTTTCATAGGGATATGGAAAGAATATGACTGTCACATTGCCTACTGGACTGACATTTTAAAATTTCCCAATCTGTATGGCGGATGTGATTCAAGCTTAAGACGAGGTCCTTAAAAGAAATTTTATAACATTTATAAAATGTTAGCAAAATCTAACTTAAAAAAATCTGTTTGGAAGAAAATATCTTCCTGACTTAAAATTGCAGAAGGACGTATTCCTCATAACTCTTTTCTATGTGACAAGGTTTTTTTTTTCCTTTTTCTTATATTTAGAACTTAGGAACTATGATGAATTGCCTCCACTCCATTCCAAATTCTAAACTAGAAAATGAAGAAACAAGATTGTCTTTTGAGTATTCCAAGTGCTATTCATGAGAAATTGTGCCTTAGACACTGAAAATGTGAGTAATTCTATTCCCACTGGTCGTGCCTTTCCACTGTGTTGGGGGAGTCAATTTAAGTTGTAAAAGAAGCAAAGGAAGAGAGGGCAGAAGAGGTAACAAGAGACCAAAATAAGTTAAAGCTGACAGAGTAAATCGTTAAGTAACAGAAGCTATCATAGAGCTGAGAAATAAGATAAAGTATACAGGACAAGACAGCTTATTGGTTGTAGGAAGAAGGCACAAGGGAATACTCCAGTAAAAATCCAAGGTTCCATTGCAGAGGTGCCCAGAGCTTCCATAGCACCACAACTGCTGTGACCTGATTAGGTTGACAAATCTTAAGGATGGGTAAGAATTAAGAGTGTCAATGCGCAAATGGGTTGAGGACATAGGGCAGGAACAGCATTCCCAGACAGCTGGAATAACATGGGCAACAGCGCTGAGGGAATAACTGGTGCACTCAGAGACCCTAAAGAAGGTCAGTGTGGCTGGGACGCAGTGGGGCAAGGGGTGAGCAATGATACTTCAGAAGACTAAAGGGGCCTCTGTAGGCCACATTAAAAGATCTATCATTGTGTTAAAAGCAAATCTAAATTATTTTCCCTTCTAAACACACACACATACAAACTTCTGAGAGGTGAATAATATAAAATTTAAATCTTCTAGAGTTATGAAGTATATCCACATGGTACGAATCTTGCCTCATATGCCTTTGGCAGTGAGCCGCTCAAGTAAAATTCTGGGAACCAAGATTTGATTTGAGTAGGGAAAAAAAAATCTGCTTAAAAAAACCAAACAAACATCGAAGACATTTCATAATGAAATTCAAACAATACAGGTCCTCCTGCAAACATCATGTGCTATTAAAATCATTTGTTATTGCAACTAAGTCAGCCAGCTTTATTTGTGAAACAAGCAAATAAAGGCTTACTCCTCTTTTAAAAAATCAATTGTTATTAATTCCTTTCTTTAGCCAAAAGTTAAAAGAAAATAAAGCAATCGACTCTAATTGACTCTTTTAACAAGGACAGCCTGAGAATTATGCTGTTTGTATCTTACTGTAATTCCATCTTCCCCAAATTACTCCTTTTTGCTCTGTTTTAGCCCAGGCTGGTAGTACATTTTCTATTCCTCTTACTAGCACATTATCATCTCCCTTACCACCCCATCCCAATAATAATCCATGCAAATAATACACATTTATTTTAATAACAAAATTTAAGAGTTGCAAGGATGAAATTTGTTTTTTGAGTTACCTGTTATCTAATATGCAAAGCGGTCATCAGTAAAGATCTTTGATATATTCTTTCAGATCTTTTTTGATTATGACCTATATGACAGTTTACAAGAATAGGATTATATTCTAAGTCCTATCTCATAACCTGTACTTTCTTTAATATAAAATATACCTCTACATCCTCATTTTTAATGACTGTTCTATCTTTTCATTAATCCATAGGGTTCTTTATTTGATAGTAGATAAACTGACCCCATATCACCTCAGTGAGTAGCAGAGTTTATCATTTCAATAGCTTCATAACTGACTTTATTTTAAAATTTTGTATTCATTTTGGAGATGAGGATTTAATCCTATAAAGTTTGTATAATTAGTATGAACCTAGTTTCTCATCACATTTGAAACCTGTCATATTGAATCCATATGGCAATTGTAGAAACTCATTGTACTGTTTGTGAGATTACTGCAAACGCTTTTGGCTATGGGTGTGCTAATGTTTCCGTGTCTTTAGATTCTTTGCCTGATCTTCTCACAAGCAGTGCTTTTGGGAGAGAGGATTGCATCGTGCATAGTGAGAAGTCACGGCTTGGAATCAGAAACCCTGTGTTCAATCCCAAGTTATATAATAATTAACTCAGTGTCTGTCACATTCTCCCCTATAAAATAGAATTAATCATACATAGCTATTTTCTCAGAGTTGCTGGTAGGATTAAGTAAAATAGTTTATGAAAAGTAGTTTCTTAACTGTGCAACTTAGCGATAGTTGTTATTGATGTGACCTTATTCATGAGTTCTTTTCAATTTGGGTGTACTTTGAATTTTTAAAATTCTTTCATTTCAACTAAATATTCATTCTATAAATATAGATGTAACATCTATGTATTCATAAACTGACTTTGGCACAAAGAGAATATTCAATAAATATTTTATAAATGAATGAACAAATGCATGAAACATTTTTCTTTTTTCTTTTTGTAAAGATTTTTAAAATTTATTTTTAGAAAGAGGGGAAGGAAGAGATTGAGAAACACCAATCCACTGAGCCACATGAGCCAGGGCCATAAAACATTTTTCTTGAGTGGGAAATATTGTGCCTGATAGAAATTAATGCTAAGATAAACAAATGAGTCTCTTCAAAGAAAATGTTATTATATTGGAAGATATATACACTTGCGAGAGTTATTACTCAATACATTCAATAAACTCTACATAGAAGAGTAAGCCACAGCTTAGGTAATTCAGAGGAACAAAACTAATTTGGAATGGATGGGTCAGGAATGGTGTCATAGAAATAGTGGCATCTGAGCTAGGTCTTGAATGTCAAAAAGAACTTGTCCAGAGAACAGCAGGAAGGGATTTCAGAATGAGAAACAGTAGAGGGTTTGGGTTTTGATGTGTGTGGTAATCCATTCTACAATATATCATATTAATATCTCCTGCTGTTCAAAATAGTCTTGCCATCCACTCCCTAATTTAAAATTAATATTAGATCATAAGCATCTGATGCCATTTCATATTATTCCCACATAGAAATCATTCTTCTGAGAAGTCCAAACATCAAATAATAAATTTACTTAATATCTGTGGTGTCCCCCTATTCCAGGCACCTCACAGTAGTCATTCACAGAAACATGATATCCAGTTTCATGGAGCCGGGACCCTGTGGCCGAGTCCAGCATACTAAATTCCATCCACTGAGGATGAAGAGATATACCTCAGTCCTCTGCAGTGAGCAACAACTAAATCTTAAATTTACCTACTATAACAACTGTTCATGGAAGATCAGCAAAAAAAATACAAAGCCCAAACTGTGATTTCTCACATTAGCATTAGAACAATTGCAATGGGTTTAATGATTCTAGAAATATCTGAGGCAAGTGTAGTACAGATTGGAGAATTCTATGAATTAGACATTTGTTTAAGTTTCCATCTCCATGACTTCCCTATAGCATTGAACACCTTTGACCACCTTAATGCATGCACATTTTTTTTTTCAGTGTAGACAATTTTTATTGACAAGTGTTAAGAGTGCAAAACAGTAACAGGAGGCAGGGTGTGGCTCTCCCCGCCTAAGTGAGGACCCTGTAACCAGACCAGTGGGGTGGGAACACTTGACTGTGGCCACTTTGGGCCCCTCCTAAGAACAAGCTCCCAGGCAGGAGGATTCCTAATGACATTGGGGAAGGAAGCAACACCCTGGAAAAGTCATGGGGTGTGTACCACCTCAGGCCACTTGGTGCCTGCTCACCTCATACCTTGACAGCTGAGGATGGGGGTGTTAGGGGCCTGGGCCAAACGTATTCTTCTCCCGTGTATCTGCCTCATACCTCACCTTCCCTCCCCCTAGTGATTAGCCAGGTTCGACCACCAGGCCCTGTGAGTGGCCCAGCCTGACCCAAAGTGACTAGTTCCCATAATGCACCATGTTTTAGTCATTGTGTGGGCGGCGGCCCTCGGAGGCTGCTGGCTCACTGAAGGCTGGCCATAGCCAAAAAAGCCCTTTCTAGGCCACAGAAATCAACTCAAGATGATGAACACTGAAGCTACCACGCCCCACACGCCCTCCACACACTCCTGGAGGCCCCACTCCATCTGGGGAGGCCCAGTCACTCCTGGCCAGGGTCCGAGTCAGTTACATGGCAGCCAGGTGGGAGAGCAGGAGTGGGCCCGGGCCAGCAGAGGCTGCACAGGGGTCACATAGTAGTTGATAGTAGCAGGCACAGCCCCATCGGGGCCTGGCGGGCGCCAGGCCAGGGCAGCAGGAGCAGCCGGGCCCTGCTCAGCCAGCGCCCGGAGCCCCATGGTGGCAATGAGGTCCAGCGTCCCGCAGCGCTCATGGTTCATGAAGCACACAGTGCTCTCATTGACCACCTGGTGCAATGTCACCAGGCAGGCGTAGCAGCGAGCTGAGTCAGCCCCGCTGAAGTGGGCCTCCAGGTAGCGCTCCAGCATGCACGGCTGCTCCACCAGGTCTGGGAAGTTGATGAAGAAGCGGAAGCACATGTAGCATTGCAGGGCACACACATCAGTGCTGGGCTGTGGTCGGAAGCCACGTATCAGGAGGTGGCAGTGCTTGAGGAGGCCACTGCCACGGATCTCTTCGGGGTTGAGTGTGGCGATGACTCTGTGCCGCAGGTGCTCCAGGGCTTCATTGAAGTCCCCGTACAGGCTCTCACCTGTCACAGTTGGATGGAAGGTGTCAGACGTGGGCGTGGATGAGCACTGGCCAAAGAGCAGCAGGGAGTCCAGGATGATCTGGAAGGAGTCTATGCTGAACTCGAACCGGCGCCTGACTGAGTCCACAAATTTGAGCTCCACGTTCTCGCCACTGTTGTTGGACAGTGAGATGAGGCTCCAGCGGTCCGCGTCTGTGCACTTTCACCAGCTTCTGCATGTATGCCTCCTTGAGCGTGAGTGGCGTGATCTTGGCCCGGCCCACACCAGAGGGCCGGAAGTCCAGCAGGCAGGCCAGCACGACCTCCTTGGTTAGCTAGAAGGAGGCCTCGCTGCGCAGGTCCATGCGCAACACTAGGTCCAGGACATTCTGGCAAGTGGCTGCACTCGGGGTGCAGCACTGTGAGTGCCCCCACCTGCCCGCACCTACCTTGGTTTCACTCTGTGACACAATGGTAACCTAGATCTCATATTTTAAAAACACTTCCCTTTATTTCCCCTTTACTTTTTCTTCCTCTTCTGGCCCCTCATAATTTGGTAGTTCATTATGGTTCAGTCTTTTGCTTCTAGCGAATTCTTTTACACTCCAGTCTTCAATAATAACTTAGCTACTAACCACTAAGCAGCATGGCCTACTCTGAAAACTGCACCTCTATTTCTGAAAACTCATTCAGATTTAGTCCTCTAGACTTCTTGAGCCATTGCCATTGCCATCGATGAGACCAAAACCCAGCCATCACAATTTCCTCAAAAACCAGTTTACTTCTCTCTCTTTCTTACTTTCCTTCTTCTGCCAAAGTCTTAGGCACCCAAGTCACTCCTGAGGAGTCATCTTTCAAGCCTGACCATAAAACTGGTATCAAACAGAAAAATACAAATGTCAAAATAGAGGAAAAAGTGACTTTCCCTCTTTTCTTTCTTTCTGCTTAACTTTGCCCACTTCCGTGAAGGCCATTAAGAACTCAATTTTGTTATAACTGAAGATGCTCTTAAGGAAAAACCACATATAGATTATGGTTGATAAAATCTAAATGATGTGAAATTGGTCATAAATGAATCAGTTTCCCAGCAATTCCTATTTTACCCCTTTCCTATCACTTTGCAATAAAATCACTGCTTAATAGTTCTAATACACCCCACTTGTATACTATCAAACAAAATTCTAGCTCTTCCTATCAGTATTCTGGTCTCTGAGGGGAAGAGGCATTTTTATCTCTAGTCTATAAGTGAACCCATTAAGTTTTAGTCAAAACTACCACTCTTCCAGTTCAATTTATCTTAAATAATGATTTTAGAGAGCAGCTCATATACAGGGAGTTCTATCAGACACTGGGCTATAAAGACAAAACCATCTCAAACTTGACTTGTTGGCAGTGTAGATAACTTTGCTATCTGTCCTTTTGTGGACAGCAAGTATGGCACCAGGTGTTAGAACAGTGGGGTCAGAACAGACCTTGGTTCAGCAACCTCTGTACTTGAATTCAGAGCCAAGACTCAAACTATAAGAGATTTAGAAAGTCACAGAGGTACAAGAAATGAGTTGTATAAGAAATAGACTCAGGAAACAAGTTACAGGGGCAAAAACAGGGCTTTTGAACTAAGGAGAAAGAGAGGGGCAAGAAAAACATGGCTGGCAAAAGAATGTAGGGAAAGGCATTGATGTGCTCCTTAGAGAGCTGCACTGGATCCTTCTTCAGTGTATTTATCTGGAGGTCTCGGCGGGAAGATCCCAATAGAAAATTCATCAGCTTTTCAAGTTGTCCTTTCAGGGTCATGGTTTCTGTTGGTTGGTCAGCTGAAACACAACTGAGGCCTAGATGTATGTGATGTGAGTCAAACCCTCACTGTACTGGGGGCTTAATGCATAAGGGCCCCATTGTTTGTTCTCACTCTAAGAGGGTCTAACTTGCATAATGAGGCTTCCAAACCTCATGACCAGCAACATGAAAGGTCAGAAGTGAGTCTGAACCACATGACCTGAGATATGCTGGGGCAGGAAAGATTATCCTGGGGGCAAGGCCCTTGTTTTCCCAGTGTCGCGACTTGCTAGGCACTCTTTGCTTCCTACCCTGTTGACCTTCTGTACCTGGCCCATCATCCGCACTCTGCTTGTGTCTGTCTCACTGCCTATCACAATTTTATTTCTGTAAAATCCCACTTAGTTCCCCTGAGCTACTTACTTGCCCTTTTTTTCCCTTCTCTTTTGCTTTTCATATTTAACTTCTGAAATCTTATCCTGCATCCCCTTGATATCATCTGTGATTTTTTTCCCTCATTCTTCAAATATAGTTCTCCCAAGCCCCATGTAGGATGGCCTCATTTCCTTTTGGGGGGTGGGGCCATGTGTCTTCTGACCCTGATAATATCCATAACTTAGCCTGAAAAACCATCAATCTTACCCATTTTTAAAATTATATTTTATTTTATAGCTGTTTACAGCTGTTACAGCTGTCCTAAATTTTCCCCTTTACCTGCTTCTAACCAGGACCCCCCATGCCCTCAGGCAACCCCACACCATTGTCATGTCCATGGGTCATTTGTGTAAATTCTTTGGCTACTCCATTTCCTATACTGTACTTTACAACCCCAAGGCTATTCTGTATCTACCTATTTGTACTTCTTAATCCTCTTACCTCTTCACCCATTCCCATGCACCCCACTCCCATCTGGCAAGCATCAAAACACTCTCCATATCCATGATTCTGTCTCTGTTCTTCTTGTTTGCTTAGTTTGTTTTTTAGATTCAGTTGTTGATATGTATTTTTTGCCATTTTATTGTTCCTAGTTTTGACCTTTGCCATTTTATTGTTTCTAGTTTTGACCCTTTAACATTTTGTATAATAATGGTTTGGTAATGATGAACTCCTTTAGTTTTTCTTGTCTGGGAAGCTCTTTATCTGCCCTTAAATTCTAAATGATAGCTTTTCTGGGTAAAGCAATCTTGTCTGTAGGCCCTTGCTTTTCATGACTTTGAATATTTCTTGCCAATCCCTTCTAGCCTGCAAAGTTTCTTTTGAGCAATCAGCTGACAGTCTTATCGAACTCCCCTGTAGGTAACTAACTTCTTTTCTCTGGCTGCTGTTAAGATTCTCTCTTTATCTTTAACCTTTGGCATTTTAATTCTGATGTGTCTTGGAGTGGGCCTCTTTGCATCCATCTGGTTTGGGACCCTCCATGCTTTCTGGACTTGCATATCTATTTCCTTCACCAAATTAGAGAAGTTTTCTTTCTTTATTTTTTCAAATAGATTTCCAATTTCTTGCTCTTTCTCTTTTCCTTCTGGCACCCCTATGATATGAATGTTGGGCCTCTTGAAGTTGTCCCAGAGGCCACTTATACAATCCTCAATTTTTTGCATTCTTTTTTCTTTTTGTTGTTCTGTGTGGTTGTTTTTTGCTTCCTTATGTTCCAAATCATTGATTTGATTCTTGGCTTGATTCACTCTAGTGTTGTTTCCCTATGAACTGTTCATTTTTGTCTGGATCTTTTTTATGCTGTTGAGGTCCTTACTAAGTTCCTTGGGTATCCTTATAACCAGTGTTTTGAACTCTACCTCTGAAAGAGTGCTTATCTCCATTTTGTTTAGTTCTTTTTCAGGAGTTTTGATCTGTTCTTTCATTTGGGCCATGTTTTTTTGTCTTTTAATTTTGGCAGCCTCCCTATGTTTGTTTCTATGTACTATGTAGAGTTGCTTTGACTTTGTGTCTTGGTAGTAGTATGGCCTAATGTAGTAGGTGTCCTGTAGGTTCTGGTGGCACAGCCTCCCCTATCACCCAACCTTGGCACTTGAGATGTGCCCTTCATGTGGGCTGAGGACACCCTTCTCTTGTAGTTGAGACTTGGTTTCTTTTAGCGGGCCAGTCAGCTACAAGGATTGGCTGTGACCATGGACCACCAACATCTGCCCTCTGTGGAGGATCAGCTTATAGGGATAGTGTGGCAGACCCCGTCCCACGGAGTCCTCCAATTTGCCACAGATGAAATAATGAGTCATTACAGACATCAAGTGCTGTCAAGAAAAGGGGAAGGTAATTTTCTCTAGAGGAGGATGCCCTGAGCCTCTATGCTCAACAGCTTTTATTGAGAATGTTACAGGTGGGGATAGACAGCAGAAATGGACAGGTAACCTATCTACATCAGCAGCTTAAGCTTACAGAGAATAGATATTGTTTAGCGATAACAATGGCAGGAACACACCAAATTGCTTCAGGTCAGGGTTGAGCAAACATGGTGTCAGGTGGATTCTTAGTCAGGGTCCAGGAGTTTTGTAAATTTCTTCCCCAGCCTTGAGCTGGTTATCTGGTATATGATTAACAGAGCTTGAGGGAGAAGCAAAGCATGCTTCAAGGAGTGTAATTTACTTCTAAATCTGATTTCCCCCAGGGGCCCTTGGAGTCATTATCAGGTCTTGCCTGCCTCCAGCATTACTGGCATTCCGGCTAAGACTTATGTGTCCTTTCCCAGGCCCCAGCTTGCGCAGGGCTATAGTTACCGATACCATTCAAAGCGGCCCCCTACAAGGAAGGGTTGTGTGCTTCTTCTGTAGCTGTCCACTGAGTGTTTCTTGGCCCTGGGGTTTCTTGGGTGGTGCAGGCCTAGGTAAGCCCCCAAATGTGTTTTGCCCTGGACAATCCTGCCTGAATTGTAGAGCAATATGAGATGGCTGCTACTTGTGCTGGGTTTGGAGAGTCCGGGTGAAGCCAAGTTGTGAATCCAGGCTGGCTGCTGCTAGTGCTGGGCCTGGGGCCCTTAACAAATGGTACAAGGGCTGGAGCTCACTGTGGCCAGCTGTTGCTTGTTTGAAAGGGTTTAGGAGCTTGTGAAACTTGAGCCAAGACCAGGCAGTCATAAGGAAAAACACCTGTTAACAGCTGTTAAGTTGGGTGGGATGGAGCCTCAGGGGATCTCCAGAGTGGGCCAAACAGTGTTAGCCAAGTTGATGGAGTCTCAGAAATAGCACCAGCCTGCTGGCTCTGTGGCTCTGTGGCTCTGTGTGGGGAGGGTTTAGAAAAAGAATAATGACCTCTTCCTACTTTTCTGTCTGCAAGAAAGCTGTCCCCCAGATCTCGACTTGATGCCAGACACTCCAGTCCCTCGCTGTATGCTACCTTGTGTCTTTTAAGCTGCTACCCTGGTGTTGGAGCTCAGAGGGAGTGAATCTCAGTAGGTCCATGTGTGGGTTCTTGAAGAAGAACTGCTTGGGACTTTAGAACTAATTTCTTCTACCAACTCAATCCCTGCTGCGTTTTGCAGCCAGAAGTTGTAGGGACTTACCTTCCTGGCACTGAAACCCTGGGCTGGGGGGCCTGGTGTGGGGCTGAGACTTCTCACTCCCAAGATATACTCCCCGAATATTTATCCATCATACGTGGTTGTGTGACTGGCCTGTTGCATGTCTCTGCCCCTCCTACCAGTCTGGATGGGTGTGGTTTCTTTAATTCC